CCCTCCCCTCTCCCTCCCCTCTCCCTTCCATGGCAGCTGGGGACCTCACTGGGCAACAGGGATGGTGTGGGGTGTTGGGGTAGTCCCCCAAGCCAGCTGTCTGGGTTGCCCCCTGTCGTGGTGGAGGTGGTGGGGTGGTTTCTCAGGGGGACCTCTGTGTTTTGGGGGCAGGTGGGGAGCTCTCCACCAGGAGGAGAAGAGGCACGGGGGACACCGAGTCCAGTAAGATCAACGGGCTGCTGGAGAGCAAGACGTACGACACCTACGCCTCTTCGTCTGGGTACTCCTCAGAAGATGATTATGCTGGTAGGGATGCACCAGCCTCTCTCTGGTGGCAGGGATGCTGGGGGAGACCAGGGGGACCAGCCCAGAGCCTGGCTGTGCCCAGGATGCTGCCAGTCCCTCCTCTCCTGCACACCACCCCCCAAGCAAAGCCTTCACCATTGATGGTGCACAGGGATGCAGGCTCTATTTAGTGACTTGCTACCTCGCTGCTTCCTTTCCAGGTCACTTCTACTCAGGCCAGAGTAGCTCCAGGTCGGGGCTGAGGACCGCAGCCTCTCGGGTGGGCTCCTTCCTCTGGCAGGTGTTCACCTCCCCAGGTGAGTGGAGGGCTGGTGGGGGGGTTTCTAGCAGCACCTTTCTTCCCCACCAGCATCTCCACTTCCCACGGGCCATGTGCTGTTCCCTGATGGGGTGGAGGGGCTTCATCTCCCCGTGGGAGCATCCCTGGGGACAGAAGGAACATCTTTGCCGTGACCCTGCCTGAGACTCATTTTCTCTCCTGGCAGTTCGGTTCCTGGGATGGCTCTCCTCGGGGCTGGCAGCTGCCTGGCACCGCCTCACCGGCCCAGCTCCTCGCCTGGGTGGTGTCCCCTTCTCCAGGTGAGTGTGGTGGCCGGATACCAGGATGGAACACCCACAGGAGTCCGGAGAGCGGGTGCCTGGCACACATGGGGTGTGGGTGTCTTGTGCCAAAGCCCAGCTGGGTTCTGCCTTCCCTCCGGCCCCCATCCAGAGAAGGGCTGCGGTGGGGAAAGGTGGCCGCAGTCCTACAGGTGCCTCTTTCTTCTCCATGTTCCAGGCGCTACCCATGGCTGAAGAGGTCCCTGCTACTGCTGTTGCTCCTCCTCCTCCTCGCTGCCGCTGCCTATGGTGAGTTGGCCCAGCTCGATCTGTTGCCCTGGGATTTGGGGCAGTGCAGAGCATCCCACTGCTGTACCCAGGGGATGGGATGGGATGGCCCTGAGCTCAATGTTTGTAGCTCCTGGTACCCTGGTGCATCTTCACCCCTGTGCTGAGGCCTCTGGGTAACCCCAGGAGATGCTGATGGTTGAGCCTCTGCATGTCCACCCTGTGCCCTGCTGTGGCCTGTTGTTTTAACTCTCTCATCCCCCTACTTGCCCAGGAGCTTGGTACTTCTACCCGTACGGGCTGTCGACGCTCAGCATCCCTGCCTTCCCGTGGTGGGGAGCTGGAAAGCTTTCCTCCTCCTCCATGCCTGGGGCAGGGGACCTGACCGCGCTGGACCAGGTAAGCCTCAGCAAAGTGGTGGTATTGGCCCAGGTGGGTGGCCTGCTGGGAGAGCCAGGAGAGTGTGGTCTGTGGCTGAAGGAGCTCTTCTAGGGGATGGCAAAGTGGTGGAGGATGGGGCTGATGATGGCTCCATGCTGGTGGAAATAGCTCCCCCAGCTTGTGGGTGTCTCACTCCCTGGGTGTCCCAGGGATGGAGCAGGGGGAACATCTGTCCTCTCTTGGGAAGCAGCGGATGAATAAGATGCCACTGACTCTGGGGACTGTGTTGTCTGGATCCCCGTTTGCAGGGGTCCCTGTGGAGCAGGCAGCCCCGTGGGGGTCCACACCTCCCCGGGGGGCTGCATTGGACCCTGCCTTTGCCACCACAGGGGCTGCAAGGGGAGCACCGGCTCCTGGCTCGCTTCCAGGCTCTGGAGAAGCGCTTCAAGGCACTGGAGGCTGAGGTGTCGCAGTGGGAGCTGCGTCGGGGGGCAGCAGCTGTGGCAGCAGGAGGAGAGCCACCCCCGGGGGATGTCCTGGCCCTGCTGGAGGGACTGGTGAGCCGCCGGGATGCGGGGCTGAAGGAGCATCTCCTCACTGACGTGACCAGCCACCTTCAGGTAAGGGATGTGGAGGACATGTGGGGAGATGGGGGGCACGTGGGGCTAGATTCTGATGTTCCCCTCCTGTTCCTCACCCTGCAGGGCGAGCTGGATGCTCTCCGAGCCCAGGTGCAGAGGGATTTAGACGGGCGCCTGGGGAAGATGGCACAAGCCTCTCAGGTATGGGGATGAGCGTGCGGTGGTACCCGGGTGGGACATCCTCACCGCCGGCACCGCAGGTCTCACCCTTTCCCCTTCTCCTGGCAGGAGATGGAGACGCGCTTGCTGGAGCTGAACTCCAAGTGGCAGAGGTAACGCTGGCTGCCCGGGCAGAGCCACTGCTCTGTTTAGGGGCAGGCAGGCAGCAGGGTGGAATCCCCACAGCAAAGCTTGGGAGGAGTTTCCAGGGCTGGTTTGCTCAGGGTGAAGGAGAGGCTGAGAGGCACAATCTTGGGTGGAAAGGAGAGATGGGTATGTCAGCAGGGAAGTGTCCTGGCTGGCTCAAAGGGCGATTGCAGCAAATGACCTTCACCACTGTTATTTTTGCATCACTGTGGGGAATGTGGCTTTCGACTGGGGGGCGAGCTGGGGATGCTTTCCCACGGGATGCAGTAGAAGAGGTCATCGGCACAGGAATTGGAAGGGCTTGGGGCTGGAGATGGGGTTGAGCGGAGGTGATGGGAGATGAACCTCTTCCCCTAGTGTGCAGAGGGGAGCTGGGACTGTTGGCACACAACTCTGTTACCTTTCTCGGCACAGCTTGGTGCAGGAGGGCCTGCGAGGGACCTTCCAGCAGGAGGTGGACAAACTGGAGCAGGAGGTGGCAGCGCTGAGGAGGGAGCTGGCGGGCCTCAAGTCAGACCAGGAGGTGATGGGGAAGCACGTGGAGGGGATGCTGGAGCAGCTGAAGGCGGTGCGGGCTGATGTGAGTCCCTGGTTCCCACCCTGTTCAGCAGAGACAGCCGTGAGGGTCCCTGCCCTGGGGCTGAGCTCTGTCCTCACCATTTTAGGTGGAAGCGCAGTTCCCGGCGTGGGTCCGTCGGTTCCTGTCGCAATCCCGGCAGGACGGCGCCGCTGGCCTTGTCCTCCAGCAGGAAGACTTGCAAGCAGAACTCCGGGCCCTAGAGAGCAAGATCCTGGCCAAAGTCTTGGAAGACCGAAGGCTGGCAGCACGGGATGGTATCGGAGTGGCCCTGCAGCAAGGGGGGACCACAGGAGTGACAGAGGAGGTGAGTGCCAGCCTGAACACCAGGGACAGGTGACTCTGACACCAGAGAAGGACTCTTTGCCAGGAAGGGTAATGATAGGACAAGGGGAAACGGTTTTAAATTGGAAGAAAAAAGATTCAGATTAGATCTCAGGAAGAAATTCTTTAGTGTGAGGGTGGTGAGACACTGGAACAGGCTGCCCAGGGAAGTTGTGGATGCCCCATCCCTGGAAGTGTTCAAGGCCAGGCTGGATGTGGCCTTGAGCAACCTGGTCTGGTGGGAGGTGTCCCTGCCCATGGCAGGGGGTTGGAACTCGATGATCTTTGAGGTCCCTTCCAACCCAAACCATCCTGTGATTCTATGACAGGTGTGGGGTTGGGGGCTGTATCCCCTTGTGTGTGCAGGGGGGACTGGCATGCCTGCCTGGCAGATGGCAGAGCCTGGAGACAGCCCTTACAGCTGGGATGTTGATCCTGGCAAGAGCATCTCTGAAACTCCTCCATCCTCTCTCTGCTGTGAGCCTCCCCAGGGCTGTGCCTGTGCCCTGCCCTGGAAAGGGTCGTAGGTGGCAGCATCCACACCCTGCGAGGCTCCTGCTGTCTTAAAATCCAAGTTTCAGCTTGCGTATCTCTCATGCAGAAGGTGGGGCAGGTGCCAGCAAGGTTTCCATGGGCTGAGCATCTTGCTTACCCTCCCTCCGTCGCCAGTGCCGCAGAGTCATGTGGGGCAAAGCATTTCAGCAGGATGACACCACGGGGAAAAAATGAGCCTGCTTGCTTTGGAAAGAGTTGTTGGCAATTCCCCGTGAAGCTAGCGGAGGGAGGGATCAAGCTGGGATTAGCAGTCTCCGTAGTCTGTGCAAGCTTCGTGCACAACACAAAGTTCAGAGCCACAGTGGGGCCACAGGGTCCCAGCTCCTGGGGCTGGGTTCAATTCCAGAAGGATGCTCCAGTTGGCTCCCCCTTTTCCAGATGGGGGGAGCTCCCATTGATCCTGCAAGACAGAGAAAGAGGAACCCGCTGGGGAGGACTGGGTGGGCTGTCAGGCTGTGTCTGGTACCTGCTGGGGGGTACCCCACCTCCTCTGGGGCGAGCCCCTCTTTTGGGATGGGGATGGGCAAGCCCAGCCTGCCTTGGGCGCTGCCCCTTCATTGCACAGCTCCTCTCGTCTGGGGTATTTTTAGCAACCTCTAACGAGGCTCCCAAGCCAAATGCGTGTCGTCTTGTTTTTTGCCACGGTGATTCATCCCCCGGCTGTTTTGTGGGAAGGTCCTTGTGCCCTCTCCGTCCCCGCAGGGCAGAGGTGGGTGGGGGGCAGGATGCCCACCCCAGACCTTCACCCCTCTTGTGTCCTCTGCTTCCCCCTGCAGCAAGTGCATCTCATCGTGGACCAGGCCCTGAAGCGCTACAGCGAGGACCGCGTGGGAATGGTTGACTATGCCTTGGAGTCAGCAGGTAGGAGATGGGGGGCTTTGGCCCACCTGGGACGAGCCGTTGGTCCTGGGGAGGGGACCACAGGATACTTACCCACCACTGTCCCCTCTGTGTACCAGGGGCCAGCGTCATCAACACCCGCTGCTCTGAGACCTACAGGACGTGGAAGGCGCTGAGTTTGTTTGGCATCCCCCTGTGGTACCACTCGCAGTCCCCCCGTGTCATCCTGCAGGTGGGTACCTTCAGGGCAAGACCCCACTGAGAGGGAGAACCAGCCGGGCTGGTTCTCGGGTGGGTTTGGTGGGTTTTATTGGGCTCTCGCTGTCGCTCCAAGCAAGCGGCCAGGCTGATGTTGGGGTGAGGGGGAGAAAAATGGCACTGATGATGATAACGTTGCTGGTGTCTCCTTCCCGCACTCGTAGCCAGATGTCAACCCCGGGAACTGCTGGGCCTTTCGTGGGTCCCTGGGCTTTGTCATCATCCGCCTCTCCAGCATCATCCGCCCCACGGCCGTGACACTGGAGCACATCCCAAAAGCCCTCTCACCTCAGGGGACCATCCCCAGCGCCCCCAAAGACTTCGCTGTCTACGTGAGTGCCCTCATCTGGACCTGAGGGAGGAGGGGGGAGATGTGGTGGGAGGATGGGGTGGTGGAGGGTGCAGGACAGTGGGCTGGCAAGCCCTGTATCTGCCTGTGGGGTGCTCGGGGAGGGGTGGGTGTTATTCTGAAGAGGAGGAAGAAGCAGTATTGGGGGGGAGAGAAGGGGTACCAGGCTTTGGGAAGGGTTTTGGGGGACACTGGGAGAGAGGGGGCTGAGTAGGTGTAACTCTTGGTCTTCCTGCCCGTCCTTCCCCACTGGCCCCCATCCCTATCTGTCTGTTTTGGCCTGGAAGAGCAGGAGTGGGGGCCAAAGGCGCTTGTGTCTCCATTTCCCTCTTCTGCCCCGGGTGTGCTCATCGCGTCCAGTCTCCCTCTCTGATCACCCCTGGTTCTCCCTTTCTCCCTCCCTGCCCCTCCACAGGGCTTGAAGGACGAGGGAGAGGAGGAGGGTGTGCTCCTGGGGCAGTTCACCTACAACCATGACGGTGACCCCATCCAAACATTTTACTTGGAGGTAAGCGCTTTGCCCTTGGGGCACCCAACCCTGAGAAGAAAAAGGTGCTCCTGGGGGGGTCTCTGATCCCTTGAGAGCTCTCAGGGGCTCAGGTTTTTCCTTCCTCCTCTCTCCAAGGGCAATGCCGTGGGCACGTACCAGCTGGTGGAGCTCCGGGTGCTGAGCAATTGGGGCCACCCTGAATACACCTGCATCTACCGCTTCCGTGTGCACGGGGAGCCGGAGCACTGACCCCCCGGCTCCCGCGCGGGATGAGGATGCTGCGGGGCCGACAGCAGGAGGGGACTCGTCCGGTTTGTCGCTTTGGACATAGAAATCCCGGGATGCACCAGCAGCCGCCCCAGGGAGCCGCTCCCCTTGCGGGAGGAGAAGAGCTGGTGTTCAAAGGGTGAGGCTTTCACTCTTCCAAGGACCGGCGGGTGGCGAGGCAAGAGCATCCCACGTGGGTCCTGGCGCAGCCCGGTTTGTTTTCAGTGCGGATCGGACACTTTTAACTTTTTAAGCTGATTTTTTTATTATTTTTTTTAATTGGGTCTGCGCAACCCCTCGTCCCCCTTGCCTTGCTTCTTTCTGAGTGTTGCCGGGGCTTGGGAAAGGGGGCATGTAACTTCTGCCATGTGCTTCACGCCAGCTTGGGCACGACAGGGTGTACGGGACTGTGGTGACTGGCTGGGTGCTGCCAGGGTAGGTGGGAGCCCACCGGTCATGGCCATTGAGTCTCTCCCCTCCACGTGGGGTGGGGGGGGTCTTTTCTCCTGCCTTGGGGCTGGTTGAGGTAAAGATCTCCAGACCTCCGATGCTGGGCCAGCAGAGGGGAAATAAGACAGTATTAATGAAGTATTAACATAAAACTAACGGTTTGGGACAGCAGGAGGGGGGAAATTGGGCACGCACGGGTGGCAGAGCCTGCCCCAGTGCTGCCCTCCGTCCGCTCGAGCCCTCCTGCTGCCGGCGGCTGGGTCGGGTCCTGGCGACGCTGTCTCCCCAGTGTTAAGCTTAACGATGCTATGGAAAACTCCTGTTGCCTGCTTCCCCTTTTGGGTTTGTTCTGTTGTGGTTTTGGATTTGTGTTTTTTTAAGGGGGAGGGAGGCTATTTTCCAGTTGGGGTCTTGAGGGATTTTTTTTTTTTTTGCTTTGTTTTCTTTTTTTTTTTTTTTTTTTTTTTTTTTTTTAACAAAAAAAAAAAATCTTTTTTTTTCTTGT